GAACTCTAAATCCTGAATGGGCTCCTGCAAGAGGCTACAAGTTGCTAGCAATGTGCTGGGTGGTAAGCATCTCAGGTAGTTTTAGACAGAACTGCGCCAAACCGAGAAACTAGAGACTTTGCTTGTATAACGGTGGAACCAAATTAAAGAGGACATTGGAGAAGACCATAAGATTACTCTGTTGCCTTGTAGCACAGCAGATAATGCAGTTCAGGTGACATGTCCATTACCTTGTATGACATTCTCTGCCAAGTACACACAGGTGCCAAGTATGCTTTAGAGTAGCACTGAATTCTAGTCTGCTTAGTTGCATAAAACTGCATTTCAAACATTAGCTATTAATATTCTGGTTGTCTTCTCTCATGACAGTTACACTACAAATACCATAAAACTGTAGTTAGTATTTAACCCTTTTTATGGCTGTCTTTGTATAGCATAAAAATAGGATAAGGCTTATCCCCATAGAAGACCCCTCAAGAGTAGGGACAACTTGGTGGGGATAGCTGAGGCTGAATATCTGCTGAGAAGAAAAGAAAGGAGGTTTGTGCCTGCAGACATGCTGAATAGATTGACCTGCAAAACCTACAGACATGAACTTGCAATCCTTGCTCTACAACCTGAGTTACCTGACCATGCAGAATTCCTGGTGCCTGGAAAAGACTCAAGCACTACTTTCCAGAAGTGGAGGAAACCCAGGAGGGATACTGTTGAAATGCCAAATTAAACCATGAATAATTGATAGTCACAGGCTGCCAGTTCCGACATCCTGCCCACCCAGCTATCGGCAGCTTCTCCAGAAAGGACACAGCAACAAAAACATATACTGGAGTCTGGATACTTTGGCATCAAGACTTATCAATGTACAGTGCCTGGGACATGCAAGGTGATGCAGAGGACTGAAAGCAACAAGATGGTCCCAAAGAACTTGCTGAGATATTGTGCTTTCAGTGAACTTGACAAGAAGGGCACAAGTGATTTCTGACAGCAGCACATAAAAATTAGCCAGTGCAGAGCAGTGATTCATCATCACTCTGTTACAGCCAACATCTAAACTAACAGCAACATATCAGTCAATCTATTCACCAAAAGCAAGTTTCTGGAAATTTTAAAAAGTCATGTTTTCAAGATGTATAACAGTGTAATCACAGTCCAGATAGCAAAGCAGACATGTATATAAAAATCTTTGGTCTCCTTTGTAGCCATTTTCCAGCACTGAGATGGAAGGAGGAGAAATGCGAAAAAAGGTCTGAAAGTGTCTTCTACCCTTACCCTGAGCAAGAAGACATCCCAAGAAACATTGCATCCTGTAGAAGAGGAAGCATATTGGCCATTTAATAGGAAAACTTTCCTGATTACTTCGGAACCCCCTACATGGCATTAACAAACATGGCAGGGAGAATGGTGGTTAACATCTCTTTTCTTGGTCCCTGTCTCTTTCTCTGAGGCCATTTGGCTGCTTTGTCTGTAGACTGTCCTGTTAGCTACAGGTTGACCTGAGTTAAAACCAGTTTGGGATCTAGTGCACCTTTGCAACTGTTCATCAGTTTGCCTAGCAAAAGAATAAAGAGTCAGGGAAAGTCTGTGCTTAGACTGGCAAGTGTTTGTCCAGCTGCCAGCTGTATGAGTGGTATGTAGAAAACTTAGTGATTAGTGTCCTTTACCTTCTATATTAATGCCTTGTAAAAATGCTTGATGTGTTCCCTGCATGGTAAATCCTTCAGGTAAACGGAAGAAGTCAGAGCCAGCTGCTTGGAGGCCATTAGGGAGTTGTGATATATACTCTGATTAAAACCATGCTTAGGGGAGCCTTGCTCCCCTGGGATGTTGCAGCACATTCCTCAGGAGAGCTAGCTGCCCCAACAGAAACCTCCCACAGGCTGGGAGCAAAGCAGGAGAATGCCAACAGCCTGGGTCAGTCCGGATGGGCAACCAAAGCTTCAGGCTGAGCTGAGAACTCTCATACATTTTGGGAATCCCCAGCCCTTTTTGGCCCTGCTGCTCATGGCTGTGAAAGTGTAATACAGGAAGGTGAAGAGTTGCATACAGGCTGCAGCATCAATGCACGTGAGCACAGTCCATTGTGCTCCAGAAGTGTGGCAGCCATCCCACGTGCATCGCAGAGCCGGTGGGCTCAGGGTCTGTGCTGCCATCCTGTACATCTGATGGATATTAATAGAGATTACAATGATTCCTGAGAAGAAGGGCTACTGATATGTGGAGGTGTGGCTCGGCAGTGTTTTTTTAATTGCTTTGTCCAAATTAGTTTGATATTTTTGTCTGTGGCCAAAAGGTGAGGGTGGGAAGAGTCTTGCCTCCCCCAGTATCAAGCATATCCATTTCCTCTGCTGTGTGCCCTGGAGGCGTGGGGAATGGGGCACTTGAGGTAGGCACATCACAGTTTGAGTGTGCAACCATCCATGTTTTTGGTCACACAGAGCATCAACAGGTACTGTCTGAGGGATACAGGGGTCTGCTCAGCTTTCCTCAAGGTGTGTCTGTCAAGCTGCTGGGGCAGAGATTAACTCCTCTTTACCGTTGCAGAGCTGGAGTCCCCCGAGACTGCCTGGCCTTTGCACCTGCTCCGCACTGCAGCAAAAGCAATTGCCTGAAATGCTCTTGTCTTTCCTTACAATTAAAACAGAATACCAAAAATACATCCCAAATAAAGTACTAACTAAATAAGGGAAATACTGAAGTGAAAGTACCATCTCCTTTGTCACATTGCAGCTCCAGTGCTGCTGTAGTTTTCTGTGGTTCATTTCACAAACTGAAACCTAAAAAGCAGTTTGGAACCCAAGTCCACTTTTCATTTTATTCTGGCTGTGCTTGGACATGACTTCTGTTGCTTTATACTCAGTGAAGGGAATAATTTGCCCAATTAAGCGCTTAAAGGAGCAGGCTCTAACTTTTTAAGAAACTTCTGAGTGTGAACTGAGTTTAAATACCCTTTGTGACTGTTACTTCTGCATTCAGTTTTCATCTTATTGACAAGTGTTTTATCATCCGCAGCACCAGAGATACTACGGGGATGTGCCTATGGCCCTGAGGTAGACATGTGGTCTCTGGGGATTATCACCTACATCCTGTAAGTGCAGACAGTGCCACAGAGTGGTTCATTTATGAGCAACCGCAGGTTTTTATGACATTATGAGCTGTGTCATTGGAAAACACAAGGTCATGAACTTTAATTATGATATTCCTAATCTTGTTCAAGTAAGTCAAATCCTAGAGGAGCATGGCAAAACACTTAGCTTATGTATTTGATAAATAAAACGCTTCTTCATGAAGAGCAGCAAGGTCTGCACATAATTGTGCTGTTAATGTAAGTGAGTAGCAGAAAAGCTGCTGAAAGGAAAAATACAAGCATATGAGTGCCAGAAAGCATCCTATGTTTTTTTTTCTCATTCACGCAAGCTGTGAGATATACTAAGTAGCTTCTCAACTGCAGATGGAGCAAGGAGAAGTTAAGGTGCTTGCAGCAGTTTCACAGTGCCTGTGAACATTCCCAAATGCAGCTGCCCCATTCTGTGTCAGCCACAGACACAGCTGCAGCATCAGTGTTGCTGCCTCACAGCATCTCAGGAGGCAGGGGACAGCCCTGAACTCTCTGTCTTCAAGTCAGTCTGATGGGCTAAATGATTAATGTTGAAACATTCTGCTTCTTACAGAATAACCTGTTGATGGAGGGCTGTGAGCAGTGTTGGCCATACATATTTTAAATAGTTGAACTTACCACTATAGACCAAAATTTTCAAACAGTTGTGGCTCATGGTAGGCACTTGTGTCTGCTTCTTAGTAAGGCTAGTCCTAATTCAATTGGTAAGCGTTGTTTTTATTTTATTGTATGGAATCTTTCAAAGGAAGATTATTGAGAAGGAAGTATTGTATCTGATGTATTGACACTTCTCCTTATGGGAGAATAAATAACTTCATTTAGTCCCTTAGGCAACACCAATGTTAAGCTGGCTTGTATAGTTTCATATGAGACATGCAGGATGCCTTTTATGAGAAGAAAAATGGGATTTAAGATATGGAAGATTTTATACATTCAGGCCCATTTTCTTTCCTCTTCTAGGACTCGGTAACTGTGTCCAGTAAGCACAGTGTGTAATAATACAATTGTTTTCTGTATGTCTCTTGCAAGGAAATAATTATATTTTCTAGGGTTTATACTAGAAGTACTTGTAAAGATACATAAATACTGTGATGGAAATATCAGAAAACATCTTTTGTTCTGTGCATAAGTTTCAAATAAGTCACAACTCTCCTTTTGGGTGCCTGTAAATAATAGGCAACAATATTCCTACTTGCCATTTTGTTGTCTGCTCCTTTTAAACCATGAATCTTTGTCTCAAGGCCTGGTTCAGGTCTGTACAAGATCGCATCTCAGATATTTTGTGACAGTTGATCATTTCTTGTCAGTTCTAGTGGTCCACGCACAGCAGAGAGATACAAAATTTGCCAGCAGGGCTGTTCCTGAGATTGGAGAGGGGCCTTTTGTTGTCCCTTTACAAAGATACCTAGATTAAGCCATGGGCTTACCTAGTTATTCGACAATTGAGGAATAGCTGTTATACTTGAAACTGAGAGCTTTTCCTAAGCAGAACTTGATTTCAAGTGTAGGCAAGCTCCAAGCAAGCAAGCTCTTTGAATGTATGAAGTGGCATTTGCTATACACAGACTTTCAAAACCTTACAGCTGTTCAGGAGATGCTCCCAAGCCATGTTAAACCTCTGCACTGGTGTAAACACAAACGTGTGTGCTCCTACTCTGGGTGGAACACCACCAGTACAGATACTCCTCTACTTCTTCCTCCTTCTGTTCCTCTCCTCCTCCCCTCTCAAAATCCAGTTTGACCTACAGGAACAAGCCAGGCAAAAAGGTGGTAGTCAAATCCACCAGGCCATTTCTTCCATTTAGCTTTAATAATACTCCACATTTAAAAGGCTTCTATTGAGCGTAAAACTTTGTAAGTCAATGTTTCTGATGGATTAGAAGCTGAGACCAGAAAGGTATCTGTACAGTAAGTAATTCATTAATCCTGCATCCTAAAGGACAGTGTTGCGTGTTTCAGTCTCACAGTTTAACAGATGGAATGGAATAATGTACAGTCAAAAAATATATTTCTTGTATGTGCCTCCAAAATAGAGTGGATGTAAGAGTTAACTACCATGCTACAGAAGATATATGCATAAAACTGTATCTTCTCATCAATACAAATTGGACTTACTATGTATGTAATTAAGAAAAACTTTGACACATATTTTGACAGAACAATTATTCCTGAGGCAAATTATAATAAAACCTGTTGATGATAACTGTCATATTTCCAGGGAAGCCACATTTACAGTTTTAACACTAAAGAGGACCAGTTCTTTCATATTCCTGCAGCAGGTTAGAAATGCTACTGCACATTTGAGGTGCAGATAGTGGTCAACAAATACAGAGGCTTTGCCTTTGTCAAAATTGCATGGATTTAATTAAAGGTGGTTTTTCACTAACTTTCTTAAAAGGGCACAAAACACTGTCTGGTCATTTCTAATTGATTTTGAAGCTGTTTACATTGATTTTTCTTTATTTAGTAGGTGATTGATTTAAAATGAATCAGCATAATCCTGGTTTAAATGAAATCAAGAGCAGCCACGCTAGGTCTTACCCTGTTTTAATTTATCTAATTTGAAATCACACCTCTATTTTTCATCTAATTTGGCATGTTGAGAAAAAATCTATCTGCTGAAATTGAAATTTTTTTAGGTAGAAACATATCCATAGAAATTGTTAAAAAGACAACAGTAGGTGATAGTGAGTTACGATGAAAATATTTTTAGGAGTAAATAGAGAATCACTTAGAAGGTTTCCAACATAGTCACAGCAAGCCTTAAGCATGGTTTCACTGTATGTCATCAGTTACCTGGTATGCAGAAGCCCATTTTGGCTGAAGCAGTTATTGGCCCAACAACCCTTCTCAGCAAAGGTGCTCCATGGGAATAGGAACTGACCTGAAGCAAGCTCAAAAATGGTGGTGGAAGGGGCAGGCGCATGGGAGGAGAGCAGCAGAGGAACTGTGACGAGCTCCCACCTACTGAAGTACACAGCATTTGGAGGTTGGATCCTTGTGCTTTAGCCCATCTCTGCCAGACTTGGAAATTAATAACATGCCCAGAATGTGCTTATAGTGGAGGTTTTCTCCTCTTCAGCAGTGAAAAGTGATACAGATGTTCCACCCACAGCTACACACCACTCTCAAAAACACATTTATTCCTTGAACATCTGTCTCCTTCTTCAGAGTAGTAAGCACACTGATTGGGTTTAAAAATATAAAAACAAGTTAAAATGTAAGGTTACATTTTCTAGATTCATTGCTGCCTTGTTCTTTATGGTCTGCTGTTGTTTCCCTGTCATCATCTCATTGCCTGTTGTGTTTTCTGGAGGCAGAGTAGCAGATCAGAACAGTTAACAGTTGAATAAGAAATTCATCTGATTATGTGTGCAGGCATGATTAAAGTGCAATGAAGCGACAAAAAAGGACATTAATATAAGTGGAAACCACTTCTATGAGTTTGCTTTCCCCAGGGCCAGCGGTGTTGATCTATGTTGGGATCTGTATTATTCAAGACATTAATAAATGCAGTCATTAGTGAGATGACGAAATTTCTTGATAATACGTAGGTTACCTAAGTAAAGATGAGGACTGATTATTAAAACCTGCCGAAGATTTTTACATTTTGTAGATGATAGGATGAAAGCAGATGCAGTGATAAATATAGTCAAAAACCAGTCCTAACTGGACATATAAAAACTTCTAACCTTACAGGTAAAGTGTGGTTCCTCAGCTAATTCTTATCCCTCACGAAGGAGTTACAGGGATTCTGGTAATTCCCCTATGACCATGTTAACTCTGTGCTTGTAAACAATTCAAAAAAGCAGATCCAAGGTCAGGAATTCTTAGCAAAGAAATGGAGATGAAAATAGAAAACATAATTTACGCTAATTTGCAAGTCTGTGGTATGCCCATACTGAATGGTGTTTGCACCCACTTCAAAAAGACGCACAGCTGGAGAAGACTCACAGAGCAGGGATGAGCAAAGGTTTCAGACAAGGAATAACTAAATAGTCCAAGGGACTTCAGCCTGCGACCAACAGAGTGAAGAGCTGCTAGGAGGTATTTATTGGCTTGTAGAAGGTAAACAGATATCAACTGTTGCATGGCTAGTCAAGTCCCTATATCAATAGTTCCAAATAGGGACATGTGAGAATGGAAAATTTGATTTGATCAGCCTTTCCCAGTGCTTAGGAATGCCTGTGAACATGTTTTGCTCTGCTCTGTAGAATTAAGGGTTCATAAGTACATCCAGGTCTGGTTTCCCAAAGTAGTGTACAGGAAAAAGTGGGGAAAGATGATACTAACAGCCCAAGACCAATTATTCTTTGATAAATTTATCTCTTTTTTATCCTTGCAGACTTTGTGGTTTTGAACCATTTTATGATGAAAGGGGAGACCAGTACATGTTTAAGAGAATCCTGAACTGTGAATATGACTTTGTGTCCCCCTGGTGGGATGATGTGTCTCTGAATGCCAAGGATTTAGTAAGTAAATCAAAAACGAGACTGGCCTATCTTTCCTGCTGTTAAGTATTTAGCTAGTACCACTTTCACTGAGAGAATCAATCCATTTTGCATTGGGGGCAGAATAATTGTTTAATTGATTGTTCATATGGATCCTTGCTTTTCTTCTTATGTCTGGTGTTTTATGGTGCTGTTAATTATCCTTTGTTAATCCAGTGCTGTAATTTTGCACTCAAAACCATTGGTGTCCAGGTCCTTCTGTGAACTAAGCCATAGATTGTTGGCAGCTGTCACAGTATCCATGTATGCCTGCCTTTCGTGCTAGCCCTGAGGTGTTTCATTGTTCCTCTTTGCAGGACAACCACCTTCAGGGCAATGTAGAAACAATTTTGTGCAGTTTTCAAGTCTCAACTATGGAGTTAGAATATAAAAAGGAATTAGGCCCCCATCCCCCAGCTTTTGCTGACAGCCTGTTTCGGTCTATTTAAGCTTTTTCTCAGTAGATGAAGAAAGACTCATTACTTTTAAATAAGGTCCATTAGCAAAATGCAGGGGCTGGCATCCTATCCACACTGTAGTCTTTTATTACTGCATAAAGTAAATTGGATCCAGGAGATACTGATCTGCAAGATGGGTATGCTTGAGTTACATTTTTAGTCAACAATAACTTGCACAATTCAGTTATTCCATTAGCACTTAGGACACACATGCTCAGTTCCATATTACTTATACAAACTGTACCATAAAATACTACATTAATTACTGTTTGTAAAGTACTTCAGGATGCCTCAAATGGAAGGACTATAGAAGTTCAAAGTATTTTTTGTTGTTGTTTTAGATTTGAAGTATTTCTAAGGTAAAAAAAAAAATCAATTATGCCATGTGTCATCAAAACCCGGATTAACAGCAGCCTGCATCAATGCTGCACGTTTAATGTATACAGAGAGCTTTGTCCTAAACTGGCCCCTAATGTTTTGCTACAGTAAAGCTCCGAGTTTCAGATTTGAAGTCTGTATAGGAAGTTGTAGATAAGGATGAAGCCCATGGCTCTCAAAACCCATGCTGTGGGCAGTTCTGGAGTGTCCAGTTGAAGTAATTTGCTTAACTTGACCTCTTCTGTGGATGCACAGCACGTATTCATCACAATGCCTGTTCTCCTGCACCTGCGTCAGGACACCCTTTCTC